TCTCTCTAATGACCACGCATATATATGCTTCTCTCATTTGTCTCTCATTCAATCACGCTCTATCTTTCATTCTGTTTTTCATACACAATACAGTGCAACAGGCTCGGTGGATCCTTCTTCTACATATTTCTATTATGTCGGTGTGCATATATAATCTATATCTGGATGCATCCATGGTGGTGGAAAGAATTAAATACAAATTTTGGAAAATTCCGCTAAGATAGTGATCTTCGAATTCCGGCACCTTCCAGATTATTCATAAAAAGGCCCATTTAAAAGATACCCCATGTTTTAAGGCAGTTGGATGTGGGTGATTGGTTAGGATTGTGCATTGAGTTGATACTATCCATTAGGTTTGCCGTGGAAGTTCCCGTATTGGCTGAAACTAATCCTGGAAGTGAATATTCTGCGTGGCTTTTGCTAATCCCAAATCCGTTGATTTGGTTATCAAGAATTTCTGGAATGGTTTCTTTCGAGTTGAATATGGTAGCTAATTCTTCAGGAAGTGCTTCGATGTTTGCAATGTCTGGAAGGAGAGGGTAGGATAGTAGCTGAAACGGATCAATCCGGTTAATGAGTTCGCCATATTGGCTAGGATTATGTGATTCCCCAAGGCAATTTGTGTCAATAATTGGCAGAGGGCTCGTGCTTAAAACTCTCAGTATGTTTTGAAGAACTCGATTCTTGGCGAATTCAGTCACCCGATCTTCTTGTAACTTGAGCACATATTTCCAAGGATCCATCAAGTTGGTAACACCGGAAGCAGGTAGCAGATTGAGGAGGAGATTGGCATCGGTTATTGGTTGGTGGGTATTCGGATCAATACCAGACCTGAGGAGCTTCTTCCTCAAGTTGGTATTCCAGAAATTCTTGATTTCATTGTCTGTGCGGCCCGGAAGATGAGATGCAATTGTGGACCACCTACAAGGACAAGTTATTTTGTTTGATTATATCCTTCAAACAGTTAACTTAAATGTATTGCGAGATTGAAATTCAAAAGAAAGTAGAAGAGAATAATAAAGGCATACTTGTTTCCAAGAAGTGAATGGAGGCAGATAATGGTTTGTTCCTCGTCAGGTGCGAAGTTTCCACGCTTAATATCAGGCCTCAGATAATTAGTCCATCTTAATCTGCAGCTTTTCCCACATCTATTTAGGCCTGCTTTCTTAGGTAGTAGTTGCCAACTTCCCTTGCCATGTTTATGAATATAATCAATCAGTTTTTTATCCTCTTCTAAAGTCCATGGTCCCTTTTTCAACCTGTTATCAGTAATGCTGCTGGGAGATCTCCCCATAATCTGAAATCAGAATTAAAATGAAGAAACTACAGAAGTGGGGAGATAATAATACAAGGGCAGGCTATATATAGAGGGAGAAGTAGTGATTTTAAAATGTTCCATATATAGATGACAAAGTTCCAAGATTTATAGGGTAAACATTATTTCTCTATATTGTATTACACCATGCTTTAGCTTCTAACAACACGTAACAGATTAAATCAAGTAGCTTATCTACTTTTTCTTTATTCTGTTGATTAAAAAATGATATCTAGGGTTGGACTTAAACTAATACGGATTAGGTAATGCTAAATTCAACGTCTCCAACAAGGTACAAGATGGTTTTTTATTCAACTTCTTTTCTAAATCCGTTATATTTTTGAGATTTGATACATTTTATTTATTTACTAACCTTATCTCAGTTGTATAAAAGTTAAATTTTGATTATTTAACTTTGAATTGTTTTCTCCAATATGATTATCTTTAACTGCTCCTGCAGAATAAGGCTGTTCCGTGTATAACACACACATCTTTTGAAAATGCAGAGATTGCAAAGTCATAGCCATGACGTATTTTGGTACCTAATGCCCCTGAAAAATATGTATATAC